TTCATAAAATTAAATTTAGCCAAAGAAAAGCGAAGACAAAAGATTCGGGTGATAGATAGATAACACAGAAGAGGGCGCAATTGTTGATGCGCTGGGGAAATGAGGCTAAAAAGTTTAGAAAAACTTTTTTGTATAAAGTTGAGCTAAAGAAAAGAATTTGATTTCTCTTTTAGATGATTCGGATTTATCAAATTTTTAAAGTTTTTAAGATGGAATTGATCTCACAAAATGCTACCAATATTACCTACCGTAAATACTGTAATACCGTCAATACTGTAATACCGTAAATACTGTAATAGTACCCCACCGCCATAATGACGGTGTTGCGTAGTCTAGCTGTGTTGCGTAGTCTAGCTTTGAACGAGTTTTTCTCGACACTCGTTTATGCTACAATGCGCGCTTAGGTATCAAAAAATAGCCCTGAATTTCAGCTATTTTTACCTGATAGGAAAGACGCATTTTTTGAAAATACGGCCGCTTTGATGGCAAAAAAATCAGCGTTGCGCCATCATTTTGACGAATTCCTCATAGTTGACTTGTCCATCTCCATTCACTTCAGCTTCTTTGATCATTTCTTCGACTTCTTGTTCCGTTAAAGAGTGACCCAACGAGGGCATTAAATGGCGTAATTCTTCAGCAGAAATGAAACCATTGTGATCTTTATCGAAAACCTGAAACAAGAGGATCACCTTTTGCCACTTTTGCTTTTGTGCTTTTGCTCTAAAAAGTACCTACCATAAATACTGTGATAGTACCCCACCCACCTCGTACCGTCACAAAAGTTTTTCAGTATTTCATTTTTTTCAAAGCGGCCGTACCTTCAAAAAATGCGTCTTTGGTATCAGGTAAAAATAGCTGAAATTTAGGGCTATTTTTTGTTACCTAAGCTCGCATTGTAGCATAAACGAGTGTCGAGAAAAACTCGTTCAAAGCTAGACTACGCAACACTCTGCACCGTCATTATGGGGGTGGGGTACTATTACAGTATTTACGGTAGGTAGAATCAGAACTAAAACTGTGCTAGTTTCATTTTTGATTTCTTAATTCTGAACAGTTTTCTTGGATATTTGTCTTTAGCTTAGGTTGTAAATTGTGCAAAATGGAATTTTTCGGAAATAAGGTCAACGATACGTTTCGGAAGCAGAGCACCACACTGCATGTTCAATAAACAGAGTGTTAGTGATAAACTAGTGTTAGTGAGAGTACTCCATTGTTAGTGAAAAACTAGGAGGAAACCTTGTAAAGCTTTTGACTCATCATCTCGTTTTCCTTTTTGATTTCCTTTTTTTTGGTTGTTTTCTGTTGTAGCGATTGTGAAAATTGAGTTATCTAACTTTCACAGCTAGGAAAATTCACCGAAAATTCATTCAAAAGTACCGCATGTAAAAAAAGCTTTTTTTCCTTTTTCTAAACAGTGCTTTCGTGGGTTTCTTAGGTGAAAGACGTTATCTTACACTAAAATCTCACAAGATAAGTGCATAGTAATCTTTTAGAAATTACTCTACTAGATTATAACATATTTAACTTTGGTACTAACAAAAAAGATTTATTTTTTATAGTTTTAATCAAAAAATTTTTGACTAGGGAAAGGCAAAATTAGTGAAAAAAAGTGAATAGTGGGATTGAATCTCCCACTTACTTATCGAACTTATCGAATCTTTTTGCTTTTGATTTCGGCTCTTTGGTTGGAGTTCATCCGTTTACATTTGTTTAACAAGTATTCAGGGTTATCCGCTAGTATCCATAGACTGTTAAACTCCTTGAGAAAGCTTGCAAAGTTGACAATCTCTTTAGAAAAGATTGGGAGTTTTCTAAACTTCTTAGCACTAAGGCTATTCTTGCTTTTTTTGCTTTTCAATCATTATGAATCTTCATCAAATTTTTGACCTTGTCACACACAAATTAGCTTATCATAAAAAAGACTTAATAAAAGAATAAAATCAAATTCTATCAATAAACTATCAATCTCTTTTTCAAAGAATGAAAGAAGAATTGTAGATATTACGGACAAATCTTAAAAAAACAAATGTAAGTCGGCAAAATGCTAACAAGGAAATGGACTCGTTCCTGTGACTAAGATGAATCTTTTATTAGATAGAATAGATGATGATTCAAAATTTATATTATTTACCAAAAGATCCTGTAAATGCGAGAGGCTTGAGAGTCTAGTTTTAAGCGCTTCTAGAACAGAAAAAAATTATTTCCTCTGTCGCAGTTTTACAGAATCTTTAGCAAATTTTTTTTACGGCTTTGTGATTTTAGTCGATTAGTCGACATAGTGTTACCCAAAACCAACTCCGAAGCCGGATATTCACTCAAAGAAAACTCTCCTCTGTGTGTGGTGGAGTTCTCGTGGGTTGGTGCATTTCGAGGTTCTCAAAAGCCGGCAAACGGTTAATTCAGAACTCTATTCGTCTCAACTACATCGTGTAGATCAAGCAATTCGCTCTCAAGGACTCGAACCCTCTTCAATTCATTTTCTCCATGATAACGCAAAACCACACACTGCAAAACTTACAATGGAGAAAATCGAGGAGTTGGGCTGGAATGTTCTTCCTCATGCGCCATACAGCCCGGATATGGGGCCTAGTGATTACCATCTTCTTCGATCGATGCAACACTTTCTAGCCGAGAAAAAGTTCAATGACCTTGACGAAGTCCGAATTTCAGTGCAGAAGTTCTTTGACGATCAACCAGAAGAATTTTTCAAGAGAGGAATCCAGTTGCTCCGTCAAAAGTGGAAAGAAGTAATAAAGAATGACGGAGAATACCTTTTGGATTGATGTTGATATTTGTTCATCTTGTTAATAAATTTTTTGTTTTTACTGAAAAGGGCCATTATTTAGTTGCCAACCTGATACAAATACTTTTGTGATACTTCAATAAAACTTTCTCTTATTTCTTGAATTCAATTATTTGACTAGCTTTTCATCTTTCATTTTCGGCTTTTCCTCGACAGTTTTCAGTTGTCATTAGCTGTTCTCCTAATTGAATTCGAGAGCCTACTTGAATCTTGAAGCTGTTTGAGTCTATTCGAGAGCCTACTTGCGAATCTGTCACTCGTGCTTGACTTGATTTGATTCATTTTCAACTCAAAGACAACTTTAGCTGCTTTTCGCAAAGCTTTTTTTTACATTTTACATTTTTCCTCTTTACCAACCAGATTTTCATCGATGAACTTTTACTTTTGACGAAAAGAAATTTCACTACAGCTACAATAAGCCAAAGTGATTTTAAAAAAATGATTCTAAATGATTCTAAATGATCTCATTAAGTTTTTGATTTCAATGTTGTCAATTTTCATTTCTCTGACTAATCCCCAATCAAAATACGTGTTTGTTCATCGACTTCAACACTTTTTCTCTTTAATTTTTCCTATTTTCAATTCTAGAACTTGAAAAATAATTGGCGAATACAAAGAATACGATCATAAAACCCTGATTTTATTTTTCGTTGATTCTCATTTTTCTAAACTCTAGGGAATTTCAGAGTGATTTTCAATCTTTTGATAAACTTAAATCCCCAAAGAGAAATTGAGTGCACTTCGGAAATTGAAAAGAGTGAAAGGGCGGTATGCCTTTCAGTCTAAAGGCTTTCTAACTGATCTCAATCAAATTTTGAATTGTCTTTAAACTGGCTGTCCATAGTTTTATCCTTGCTGAGTATGGCTTGTAAGTTGATTTTTAGAAATTACATTAAATACCTAGCTTTAACTACAGTATCCCTGAATATCTTTAAATTGATCTGAATGTGATAATCTTTAAATTAAAGAATTTAGAGATATTCAGGGATCAGAAGAGGATACCAACATACTCAGCCCTTGTGGACTACCTCTTCTGATCCCTGAATATCTTTAAATTGATCTAAATCTGATAATCTTTAACTTAAAGAACTTAAAGATATTCAGGGATCAGAAGAGGTAATCCACTAGGGCTGAGTATGTTGGTATCCCTGAATATCTTTAAATTGATTTGAATCTGAAGATCTTTAGAGTTTAAAGATATTCAGGGATCAGAAGAGGTAGTCCACTAGGGCTGAGTATGTTGGTATCCTCTTCTGATCCCTGAATATCTTTAAATTCTTTAAGTTAAAGATTATCAGATTCAAATCAATTTAAAGAGATTCAGGGATTCCAACATACTCAGCCCTGGTGGATTACCTCTTCTAACTGTAGTTGTACATTCGTTTTAGCGTGTTACCAGTCTCCTTGGAAAGTATTCTTTTCAAGTAATGTGTTTTCTAAAACGTGTTAACTTTCGAAAACTACAGTAGCCGGGCTTCTTGCTTTTATCCAAATCTAGAGAGTGAAACAAATGCGACCTTTTTTTTGCACACCCGACCCATTAGCGCACCTTTTTTTCGCGTTCTAAGCTCTAAAAAAGCTAATATTATCTAATTTTCATTCTAAAAGTTGTTTTTCTAGGTAATTTTAGGGCGTAAGAATTCAAATTTTGCCATATCCAAGCTTGTGGAACCAATTTGAAAGATAAAAAGGGATAAAAAGGGAATTGTCGATTTTCCCCGATGTATAACTTCGTCCGTTTGCTTCTACAAGCTCTGATATGTCAAAATTTCGATTCTACGCCCTAAAATTACCTAGAAAAACAACTTTTAGAATGGAAATTAGTTAATATTAGCTTTTTTAGGGCTTAGAACGCGAAAAAAGGTGCGCTAATGGGCTGGATGCGCAAAAAAGGAGCGTAAGAGAAAAGGTGCGCAAAAAAGGTCGCATTTCTCTCACTTGCCAAATCTATCCATTTTTGCCTGACTCTGTGGTGTGTAAGATAAATGAAAAGACAAGATTACGATCGTTTTCGAGTTTACGAAGTTTAGCAAACGCGTTGGTCGATCTAGCATCTAGTAACATCCAGAATATTCGATTTCATAAAAGCTTCTGCTCTAAAAATTGTTTTGAACAAGAAAACTTTCTAGAATAGTTTTAAAATGAGGCTATAGATTGCTTTACCTTTCAAATATCATCAATTTTTCAGTATCCAGCTATGACAACAGTCAGTCGACTCTCCTCATCGCGCATGCCTGGTTTTTCCTCATCACCTCGATTTGCCTAAACTTTTTAGGTCTCTATCTAGCTATGTACCATTCTCATCAGGTACTTTTTTTAACAAACGATAGCTATTTTAATTTCTTTTCAGAACATCGGCAAATATCAATCAATTCTCTACTGTTTTCTTTCCTTTAACATCTTTTTCTCAGCTCTCAATTCTTTTACTGATGTCGTGAGTCTTTTTTTTTGCTTAAATTTTCCATTTAATTGATTGATAACAAAAAAAAATCCGTTCTTTTTTCGAATCACACCCTAAAAATGATGCGATATGAGCGCTTAGGCTTTTTTGTTTCGAAAAAAATAGGCTTGGTTCTTTGTGTACAGCTTTCCAGCAGGAGTTTGATTAGAGATTGTGAAATTTGTTGATTTCAAAGTGAAAGAGATGCTAAATACCTAGAAAAATTAGCTGGTTTTTCATGGTTATAACGGAAAAGATTGGATTTGATGGATGGATTGAATCTTGAAATTGTTCAGGGTTGAACTAAAGAATCTAAAGCAATTAGTCTGCATTAGTTGACTTAACTGGACACTTACTACCTGTGAATCTCATTTATGCATTACTATTTTTGAGTCCTAAATGCAAAATTTACTAGCGGTACTGTAAATACGCTAAAATTGATCTAATTGCGCTAACAGTGGACGAAAGGACCGTAGCAAGATTCACGGTTAGAGTAACGTACTAGACATAGGCACTATCACTACAAAAATGACGAACTTTTACACTATAAACGCTTCTAAATTGCTTCAAATTTGTCGGATTGACACGATCTATAGCTCAAAAAATAGAGGATCCCAAGAGCTTTCGAATGAACCAAAGCACACCGAAAAACATCAACGCTAAAGAAAGTTAGTGAGAAACGGACCGTACTCGCGCGTAGTCGAAACAATCGTGTCCGGCTACAAACTACTGTAACTTTCTTTAACGTTGATGTTTTCGGTGTGCTTTTGGTTCATTCGGAAGGTCTTGAGATCTTCTATTTTTTGGGCTATAGGTCATGTCAACCGGGCAGATTTTAAACAAATTAGAAGCGTTTATAGTTTACTTTTGTAGTTTGCAATGCCCATGTCTAGAACGTACCCTCTTCCTTCAAGAAATCACCTTTAAGTTACTAGAAGTCATTGGGTATAGTACAAAACACAAAAATGTAGTCTCAAAAAACCCGAAATAAGGATGACAAATTTAGCAAGGTTGCTAAGATCTCGATGTCGAATTTGCAAATTCAGCCCATTTCTAGCAATTCCACGTTTCCGGTGGTCACAATCGGGCGTCTTGTTCGCTCATTTTGGTTGGTGCCGTCAATTTGGATGACGAGCTAACCTCGATAATTCTCATCTACATTTTCGTCTTCATTTTCATCGAAGCTGTCCTAATGGTAACCGGTCAAATCATTCATCGATCGCTCATCATTTACAAGTATTCCTTTGATATTAAACATCTAATGATTAAAAAAAGCTACTATTTTTTCGGAAATATAATAGAAACCGGAAAAAAAAGTGATGTCTAGGGATTGGACGTGAAAGAGGAAAGAGGAAAAGTTTTTGGGATCCAAAACAGAAATCAAAAGATTGTTTGCTGAAATGATCGGGGGTTTATTTTAACGGATGTCTAACGGAAAAAGATCCAAAGCTTATTCTGAGTCTCAAAGCCAGATTTCAGATTGTCTGAAAGGTTTTGGCTTTTCAAAATTGCATAACGATATTGAAAAGTAGGTTTAGGGAAACATTTTGAAAGCTTTGCTGAAAAGCTAGGTGAAAAACTGTCAGAGTTGAACGGAATCTTCTTCGCTTTACAAAAGACTAGCCTAAACATTCTATTCTGGCATACTGTAGTGGAATAGAATAACGAGTTTACCCGTAATTTAACTTTAGTTTTTAAAGTATTGGGTAATTGTAATTGGCAATCCTTTGAGCTCAAATACCTTGGCTTTGGCAGAAATGAATGGACACCGTAAAGGTTATCGGACATTTGATATGCCCCCACGCCTTTGCCATTGGCAATCCAACTTTAAACTCAAATATCTTGGTGCTGGGCTGTTCAATTGAAATAGTTTTTATACCAATCGACAGAGAAAGACTTGGCGCATCTAATGACACCAAGAATCTTTAAATTCAACAGCCTAACACAAAGAAATTTGAGTTGAAAGTTAGATTGCCAATGGGAAAAGGGTCGGGGCGTGTCAAATGTTCGATAGCCTTAATGCTGAAATGTAACCTATGACAATTTCCAGAATCATCAAGCCCGAGAACACAATCACGACGGCTTTTGCGATTCTTTTCATCACTTTTTGCGTGTTGATCATTTGGATCATTCTCTTTGTGATGGCCAGTATTACCACGACGATGTGCTTTGATCGATCAGCGGGTGATGGAAATAATACGGTAATGGATCTGTATAAATTTGATAATTAGCTTTAGGTTCAGTTGGTAGACCCAAATGATCCAAGATGTCGAGATTTTCAGTACAAATTGATGAATATTTACGACTTCAACATCGCCACTTTTGTCGCAATTCCGTTTGAAGTAAGAGATTTCTAGTTACTGGAGGAAAATAGGTTACTGTAGCTATTTATTTCTGGGCCAAGATTACGATAATTAAGTCTAAGGATAATACTGTATTTTTCAGGCAAATGTCTCACAAAAAACTGAAATTAAAGATCTGGCAACAAGGCTGATTCAGCCATCTTGACTGATTCAGCAAACGAGACTGATTCAGCCATCTTGACTGATTCAGCAACAAGACTGATTCAGTCATCATTCAGCCCATTCAGCCATCTTCTATCTAGATGAATCTAGAATTCAATCTAGAATACTTTTAATCAATCCCACTATAAAGCAGGAGAATGACTTGATCCTTTTCGACATACAGTAGCTGACAAATACTTTGTTAATCCTAACATTTAACTTTAGAACTTGAACTTTAGATTTACAACTACGAGGAGCAAAAGCTGCAGCTCAGCTTGTACGCGGCGATGCTTTTCGGCTTTTTGTGTTTTCTGCTTATCGCCTCGATTTGCACGGTGATCGTTTGCTCGACGCTGATCATTAAAAAGGTAGATTTCGTACCGTAATCCCTGGAAAGTAATACAGTAAGAGGTAAACACCAAACAGCCTTAATCTTTGTGGCTAAAAGTTAGATTTCGTTACCCTAATCCCTATCAAAACAATGAAAGGGTAAAGCTAGGCCTAAATGCGAAGCCTCAGATTGTTATGACCCGGAAATTGTCAAATATCAGAGCTCAAAATGATCACAAGAACTTGTCTTTGCATTGAAAATTTCGAAAATCAAACGTTTACTTGCTCAACTTCGTTTGAACTCAAACTATTAAAGTTTTGCCAACCTTTTCACCTAGAATATTGGTTTTCTTTGTATCTAGAGTTTCAAAATTCAAACTTTATTTCTTTTCAAAGTCTATTTCCGAATTTCCAGATCAAATCCTCGTCTTTTCATCTGAGCCAAAAGAATATGCACGCAGAAATGCTGAGGACTCTCCTGGGACAGGTGAAATGAATAAGTGAAATGAAAGGAAAATGGGGAAAAGTTCCAAGAATTACTAAAAGCTAATTGTACACATGATTCCCAATTTCTGGAATCCCAAATGATTTGGTCTAGAAGATCTAGAAAGATTAAGATAAAGATCACAATATTATCGTGAAAAGGTTAAAAACTTGGGAGAAGATGGGAAATGAATGAAAATGAGTTCAAAAGCAAGACTCTGGCCAATAGAGTAGGCTAAATTTTCTCAAAAAAAATGAATTTAAAACTATGCTACTGGTAAAAGTAGGTTCAAAAAAACAAACCGAATAGCTGAATATCTTCATGAATCAAGAAAAGGACATTTTCTTTATTTTTGGACCAAGGTTACGGTAATTGTGAAAGTTAAAGATACTGCTATATATATTGTTTCGTTACAAAGTACAAAGAGAAAGCAATCTTGTGTAGTCTGATACTATTGAAAACTCACAAGGGAATGGTCTGAGCACAAAGTTCGGGATCGACTGGAAACACAATGCATAACATAACATCGGCAATGGCGAACAAAACGCCACAAAAATTAGCCGGACACGCGAGGAATCTGACATGCAAAATTGGGACTCAAAACTGATTCCTTTATAAGGCTTCTCTCGCTATGAGCTGTTGGACGTTGGCTGTACGGATATCCGGACTTTTTTTTCCGGATAATATCCGGGTCTGTACGGATATCCGGACTTTTTTTCCGGATAATATCCGGGTCCAATCCGTACCCGAAATTTTTCTGAAAGCTTATCCGATCCGAAAAGCCAATCCGAAAAAGTCGATCCAAAAATCCAATCTCCGAAAATCCAATCCAAAAAGCCGATCTCCGAAAAGCCGATCTCCGAAAAGCCGATCCGAAAAGCCGATCTCCAAAAAGAGCTGTGAACCCATGCCCTAGTGGATAAAGGCTTAGTTCGGTGAAATCGTGACCCTATTTTTGCCCTCGGGTTCAGTTCCGCCCACATGCAAAATTTTTTGTTTTGTTTTTTTTTTGCCTGGCTCTGCATCGACGTAATCACTGGAATGTCAAGAAAATTAACGAAATTTCTGAAATTGATCTGCCCCAAATTGTTTATGGGTGATTAAAAGTAACTTTTATATATTTTTTCATTTCCCCGGTTGAAAACTTGTATCGCAGAGAGTTCAATATGTAAAAATGTTAAATTTCTTTTATTATTAGCTATTAGCGGCTAATTTTTGTGGCGTTTTGTTCGCCATTGCCGATGCTATGTTATGCACTGTGTTTCTAGTCGATTCCGACCTTTGAGCTTAGACCATTCCCTTGTGTGCTGATATAAAAAAAAAGCCTGTTGGAATTGACCTGAGAACCTGAATTGTACAGAAATTTGTGCATACAGAAATCCACAATTGAAACATTTCAAGTGTAAATTTAGCTCAAATCCAACTCAACTTTCCAGGCTTTATCTCCGATTCTTCTCCTTCAATTACCCCTTTTAATCTCAGTCATTGCAATTGGAGTTGAGGGTGATTTATGGTGGCTTTTCTTCACCATGTATTTCACTCTTGCCTGGTTCCCGACTATACAGGTATCTACTATCTATTATATATAAGAGAGCAGTGTCCGTTCATCCGTCCGTCCGTCCGTCCGTCTGTACGGACTTTTTTTCAGCCGTCTTTTGATCAATAAAGCTAAAAATTCTTTAGAAAACCTTAGAATATAATGTAGTTGTGCCATTTAAAATAAAAAATTTCAAAAAGTCAAAATTGATTGGCAATACGGTGGGTCGAACCCGGCTCTTGTGAGCCGTAGACAAGCGCGCTCCCGACTGAGCCAGCGTGACTCGATCCAAAACATTTAGCTAGAAAACCCCGCCATTAGACTGGTTTCTAGATAAATCAATTTTTATAAAGATCATTGAAAAAGTTATAACGATTTCTCCGAATTCTTGCTTATGCGTATATATTTTGTAGTGTAAAAGATCAGATAAAAATCTCTTAAACGAATGAAAATCTGTAGCTTATGAGTTCTTTTTTTTGTTTCTTTACTTTCAGGGGAATACCTAACATGGGAATTGATGGATATATAGAACAAAAAAAATGGAATAACAAATAACAAACGCTTGTCTTCAAAAAGTTGATATTATTTTTGTTTTGTTTGTTAAATGTTTTGTAGTTAAAAGCAATCAAGCAAGCTAAAAGCAGTTACGAAAAACTTTTAATTGTTAAGAAGTTAGGCTATTCAAATATTTGCTTGATTCAATTCAAACTAGGTTTGATAAAATTAAAGTCAAATCTAAAAATTCAACAATAGCCTTAGAGACTTATATTTATATTCAAAAATGAAGCTAGCAATCAATATTTAGAGTTCTTAGCGTACAAATCAAGAGCAAAAGCTTTGTAGCAAAGTCTACTTTATGGAGAGTGTGTTCCTTCGGATTAAATAATTACTCGAGTATTGCATGAGTAATTTTTACTCGATTAATCGACGTTTTTCGCCGAGTAACTACGAGTAATCCTCTTTACACGCCGAGTAAACTGAATAGCTTTACATTTGAAGAGAATTTGCCATCAAATCAGTTAAACAGTTGAATATCTTACTGGCGGGGAACACACTCTAACTATTAGAGTCCTCGAAACTCCGTGCGAAATTTTGGATTGTGAACATTTTGAGAATGATAGATTCAAGCTAAACTCTTTAGAATTACCATTTTTCTTCGAATACTTGAGTCTTAGCCTGATTTTAGTCAAAACAGTCAAAACTTTATGCAGTTTCCCATAGGAATTGTGTGTGAATTTTTGACTAATTTGAATT